ACACACACACACACACACACACACACACACACACACACACACACACACCACTGTTTGTGTGAATCAGGTGCTGAAACCCCCTTCCCAGAACAAGCTGAATTAGAGATGCTCCAAGCTGCAGTCCTGAAATCTGCTGTCTCCAAGCTGTCTGAGCTTGGGGAGTTATGAGCACTGGGGCTCAAATCATTAACCAATGGCAGCCTCCCGTGAGCATCTCAGCTCAGCCGCCACAGCTGGTGAGCCGGACCCAAGAATGAGGGCCCAGGGCTACTGCTGTGTGCAGCTGTGTAGCGGCTGAGACCCCACTAGCTGCCCACTGCAGGGCTGAAGGCGGAGTGCGAGCGGAGGCAAGGACCAAGATGGAACAGTGCCAAGGTTCTTAGACAACCAGGAAGATCCGAGCGCCTTTTGAAGCTCGTATGGCTCATGTCTATAATCTCAGAATTCAGAAGGCTGAGGCAGGAAGACTGCCACAAGTTTGTGGCTAACTTGAGCTACAGAGTTGAGACTCTGTCTAAAAAAAAAAGAGTTCTCTGTAGCCAGGCATAGTGGTACATAATTGTAAATCTAATACCCAAGAGACTGAAGCGGGGATCACAAGTTTGAAGGCAACCTTGGCCACATAATAAGACTCTGCCTCAAAAATACATAATGAATAAATAAAAAAATTCTCTAGAATTCTAGGAGTAAGAGGTTGCTTGTCTCCCCTCCCAAGCCTCTGGACTTCAGAAGAACCATCTGGAACTTCATTCAAAGTGGAAAAGAACAGTCTCGGGTATGGTTTTTGCTTTTGATTTAGTTGTTTTTGAGACAGGATATCTCTGTGTAACCCTAGTGTGCCCTGGTTATCCTGGAACTCACTCTGTAGACCAGGCTGACCTTGAACTCACAGAGATCCACCCTCTGGCTTCCCAGCGCTGGGATCAAAGGTGTGGACCACCACTCCTGACTGTATGTTTCCTTTTGAAGTGCCATTTTGAATCAAACTTACCCAGTCTGTGCTCAAGAAGCCTGGGTGGTAGTCTCAAGTGTGGCAAATGTTTGCTGTGGGCTCCTAGCAAGTGGCTGAGCTTGGAGATCTACCAAACTTAATTGTGTTCAGATTCCTCTAGTTCTAAAACTCTCGTTCCAGTCAGGACGTCCAATCTTGCCACCCATGTTTCCTAGAGATGGTCACCTTAGGGGTAAGGGTTTCAGATGGCAGACAGAACACGACACTTGACTCAGTATGTGTTTCTTTAGATGTGGTCACTCAGCTTATCTGCCCCTGTTTATACATCTGTGAAAAGGGCCAGCTTTCATACTCACAGTGAGAATAAGTTAGTTGATGTCTGCCTCTGAGTGGGCGTAGTGCATCACACATATGTAATGTCCTAGGTATGATTGATTGATTGATTGCTTCTGTCTTTACTCCTAATTTGGTCCACCCCCACCATTTTTTTTTTTTTTAACGGAGCAAAACCACAGCCTCTCGTTTCAGTGACTAGCAGGAAGCCAGTGATTACAGAAATATTTCAGGAGACTGAGGACCAAACGCAGCCTACTTTGGTGGAGCAACAGCCCAAAGCCACAAGGTAAGATGCAAGGGTTTCACGGAGAGAGATTCAGGCTTGACTCCAAGACATGAGCTGTACAGGGACAGGGTGGGGAAGTGTCAGCTTAGCAGAAGCATGTGTGAATAAAACAGGGATTTTGCTGACAGCCAGCTCCATCTGAGTCAAAAGACAGAGCTGCCAATAAAATCGGCCACTCTTGAGTTGCCGGATTGATGCTGACTCTGAGCCTAGTGGGTATCCGTCTTGAAATTCCACCAGTCCACCAGAATCACCGGCCAATGCTGCACATTCCTGCCGCACCCCGATCCTTGGGATCAGGATCTCGAAAGAAAGGAGAGGGCACGACAGTTAGGGAGCTGAGATGTCTTCGGTGCAGGAGCAGGAAAGTGCCCTAGAACCGAGGAAGACTTTGCTCGTTCTCACGCTCTGCATTATGGACCACATCTGATAATAGCAGAAATCACCAGAAAGGCGATATCAGGCCCATTTCCGTCTAAGTTGTTTTACTGCAGGAAAGGCATAACCTGGAGAGCATTTGGTAAATATCAGCCAGGATGTAGGATGCACGCAGCCTTTTGTTGGGCCAGTATGGAACTGCCAGGAGAGAAACCGCAAGTGCCTAGAAGCTCCGCCTTCATATGGGCGAGCCTTATTCTCTGGGTCCCAAAGCCCAGAACTGGACATGAACTTTGGGGTTGGGAGTGTATGGGGGTGTGCTTCCAGAGAAAACATTTCTGACATGAGAAACAAGTAAGGACGAGACAGAGAAAGACATGATCAATGGCATGGTCAGAACCCGGAATGCCTCCCTAGGGGTGTGCTGGTCTGAATGAGATTGGCCCCTGTGGGTTCATTTGCCTGCTTGGGCCTCAGTTGGCAAGCTATTTGGAAGTATTGAGAGGTGTGGCCCGGTTGGAGTAGGTGTGTGACTGGGGGTGGGCTTTAAGATTTCCAAAGCCCATGCCAGGTCCTAAAGACAAGATCGAGGGTCCATCTGCGGTGTCTCTGCACAGCTCAGAACTATGCCCTTTACAGAGTAAGTTCCTTCTACCAGAACCGACTCCTTCACAGTGTTGGTTTTTTCTCTGGGAAACTGAGCTGTAGGTCCCACTACCGCAGTTAGACCGTGTTATTACAAAGGTGTTTGTTATCCATGCCCGAACGTTAGTGCCCATTTTGAGTCTTTTTACCTTTGATGTGTACTGCCGCTGGTCTAGGGGGGTTATTGTTCCAACCATGCTTCTATACATGCCTGTTTTCCATCAAAATCAGGTAAGGAAGCATCAGGAGACACCCCAGTGGACCCCCTAGATACCAAATACAGTTTCCTTCTCCATTAGATAATGGCATTCCAAAGGATGGGGGTCAGTTACCCCTGCCAGCAAGCGACTCCTGGTCTTGCTTACTGGTCACTTTGCACAAGAATTCTAGATGAAAAGCAGCACCTTTATGGGGTTTTGTTCTGTTCCCTTGAGCAACTGTTCCACACTCTGAAACCAAGCTTTCCGAACACTGGAGTTCCTACCTAGAACTGTGGGAACACAGCAAATGACAGAAAAGTGTTCATATTTCCACCTCTGACCTCCTAAAACTTTATACTCCACATTTTTAGTCATGGCACCATATAATGGATATCAATTAGGGTGCATGCATTCCTGTATCCCAGAGGCTCCTCTTCTTAGCACCCTAACTTGAAGAGGCTAGCCCATTCTTGTCTCAGCCTGTGGCATCAGGGTGGTGAATTGTGAAATAGGCCAGAAGACCCTATAAAGTGACCTTTTCAGTGAGACCCCTTGTCAACAAGTCAACACTTTCTAAGCATCCCAGACAGCGGCCTTTCAGGTGAGAAGCCAACTCTCTCTCTCCAGGATTTATGCCAGTTCTTCTAGAACAAAACAGGTGCAGCATAATCGACTTGTTACCGTATGACAGGCTGGTCCTGGGGCTCGGGAGGTAGTAGGTCAGTGCTACTGCATGGCAGTCTACTCTGGTGAGCCATCCCGACCATCACGTACATGCCTGTGCACAGCCTCCATCTAAGCCCCCACAGCCATTATAGGACCACTCTGCCATATATGCAGGCCATTCTATCTGCTTGGTTGTGGAATATCTCCTTTGTGCTGGGTTCTCGTCAGTGGGCATTCACATGTGATACACAGACTTTCCCACTGTGTACCTATTGCCATAGATACGACACCTCATCATTCCCCAGGCTTTCTTGCTCTTCATCCTCATTCGCTGCAGCTCGTGAACCTGTACAGATTTTAACATTAGACCTCGTACTGGAAGGTCACGATGGTAATGCAATCTCCAGTCGGGTGTATGTTCAGTATCAAGGTGGACACTACATCTAGTAGTCAGCTTTCATGCTTGCTCCAGTACTCAAATACACACACACACACACACACACACACACACACACACACACACACACAGAACCTCTGAAGAAATAGGAAAATTACAACTGCATTGCCAGAGTGCTGTGGCCACCTTCCTCTGAGAAACGTGACCTCTAAACCAATGCGTTAGTCACTGTGATCCGGCTGCAAAAAGACACCATAACCACAGCAACTCTTCTAAAGCATTTAATTGGAGCTTGCTTACAGTTTCAGAGGCTTAGCCCATTGTCATCATGGTGGAGAGCATGGTGGCATGCAGGTAGACATGGTGCTGGAGAAGTAGCTGAGAGTTCTACACCCAAATCCAACAGGAAGAGAGAGACACCGAGCCTGTCTTGGGCTTTTGAAACCTCAAAGCCCAGCCCCCAGTGACACACTTTCTCCAACAAGGCCACACTTTTTTTTTTTTTTTTTTTTTTTGGTTTCGAAGACAGCGTTTTACTGTTTTTTAGCTCTGGTTGTCCTGGAACTCACTTTATAGACCAGGCTGACCTGGAACTCACAGAGATCCACCTGTTTCTGTCTCCCAAGTGCTCACCACCACCACTGTCCAGTGTCTTAATCCTTCTCAAGTTGTGCCACTTCCGGGTAACCAAGCATTCAAATATATGAGCCTATGGGTGCCAGTCTTACTCAAATCCCCACAGTCAAGTTCTAGATGTAAACATGGAATCGGGTTTAAAAACTGGACGACCTGCATAGCTTTTCATTGGAGCAGCTGCTGTCTGTCTCTTGGCCTTTCACCCATTACTTTTGTTTGAAAACGTTTATTCATGCATCTTTAGTGCATTTAGTACTTATTTTGTGCGTGTGTGTGTGTGTGTGTGTGTGTGTGGGTGGGTGGGTGGGTGGTTGTGGGCACCGGTGCGCGGAGGTGTGTATATGGAGGTCGGGGACAACTTGTGGGAGGGGGTTCTCTCATACTCTCCTACCAGGGATCAATCTCAGGTCATCAAGTAGCTCCGTCTTTACCTGCAGAGCCATCTCAGTGGCCCTATTGGCGTATCATGACAGTACAAAAAATGGGTCTTAAGATGACATTTTCATACATATAGATAATAAATTCTCATCACCTTCAGTCACCAGTATCCTCTTTTCCCTCCCACCCCTCTTGGTCCCCCCACTTCCCGAATATTCTCTCTTCAGCTTCCATGTCTCTTTAAAATCTAGATCTCTGATGCCTAATTTTGGTTGTCATCTTGACTGCATCTGGAACTAACTAAAAGCAAGCTGCCGGGCTCTCTGGATTTTCTGAATCAGACTATGTGGAGCAGGAAGACCTGTCCTATACCCGGGCAACACCTCTGATGGCAGAAGCTTTGCCTTGCCTGCCTGTCCTCACTCCTGCTGGCAGACCCATCTACCCTTTGCTGTGGTATCCCTTCACTGACTTTAGGACCAGCATAGCCAGAGCTTCAACACAGACTGATTATCAGCAGCTCTCCAGGGCCGCAGGCATCTAGCCTGGCAGACTGAACAACCACTGGATTCTCGGCCTCAGTGTGAGGCAGCCATTGCTGGACCACCTGAACCGCATCCCAGCAAGACGATCCATTCTCTCAGTTCTGTTCTTTTAGAGAATCTTAACACAATTCCTCACGTGAAAGAAAATGTGACATTTGTCTTTGAGTTTGGTTTATTTTAATTAACGTTATGATCTCAATCCATATCCGTTTTCCAGAAAGTGACATAACTTTATTCATTCATTCATTCATTCTTATTCTTTTTGGTTTATTAAGACGGTCTCACTGTATGGCTGGCCTGGAACTCACGCCGTAGACCAGGCTGGCCTGGATCTGACAGAGATCCATCTGCCTCTTCCTCCCAATGCTGGGATTAAAGATGTGCACCACCACACCCAGATACACACCCAGATAATTATTGTTACTTCTCTTGACGATGGTTATCCTTCCTTGGGTAAGATAGAATGTATTTTTAGTTTGCTTTTTCCTGATGGATAAGGATAAACATCTTTTCGAGTATTTTTTTTCTATTTCAATAATTTTAAAACCATTTACCTTTAAAGATTTAATTTTATGTGTATGAATGTTTGCCTAACTATACACATGTGTACTATGTGTGTGCCTGAGGTCACACAGAATACACACAAAGGCTAGAAGAGGGTGTCAAATCCCCTGGAACTGGAATAACAGTTATAACTCCATGTGGGTATTGGGGACTAAACTCAGGTTCTCTGCAAGAGCAGCAAGCATTCTTAACCACTGAACCATGTATCCAGCCCCCTTTTTTCATGTATTTATTGACTATTTGTACTTCTTTTTCCGTTTTATGCTTAGTTCATTCACCCATTTATTGATTGGATTATTAGTTCTCTTGGTGCCCAATTTTAAAAATACTTTTTAAAAATCTTATTTATTTAACATGTATGGGTATGTTGTGTACATGTGTGCCTCTGCACCACATGCATGCTTGGTGCCCTTGGAATCCTGGCACCGGAATACAGACAGGTGGTTGTGAGGGGCCATGTGGGAACTGGGAATGGAAACTGGATCCTCTGGGAAAGCAGTCAGTGCGCTTAAGCATTGAGCCATCTCCCCAGCTCCTGAATTCTTTCTATATTCTGGATAGTAAACCCCTTGTCAGATGAATAGCTGCAAAGACACCCCACTTCTGACAGTCACCTCTACACTGGCTTCTATTTCTTCTGCTGTGAAAAAGCCTTGATGGAATCCAAGATGTCAGTTGTGTTTATCTGAGCTCCCGGAGGCTGATTCAGGAGGGACTTGTCTATCCCTACATCCTGAAGTGCTCCCC